GCAGTATTTGCTGTCTCCAGACAGACCCAGTGCTTCCCCGTGTCTCCAGTTTCCCTCATGCTGCTGTCTCTTTCAAGGATCCCTCTTTTCCCGTTTTTGCATGATCTCAAACCGGGCATCTTTCAAGGCCTGCCTTAAACACTTCCTCCTCTAAGAAAACCTTTTTATTTTCCCCTCTTGACACCCCAGCAGGAGTGATTCCTCTCTCCTGTGACCTCTCACAGCCCTTTGTACTATCTTATCAGGCACACATAACTTTCTGCTTTGCATGGGCGTTATCTATACATATGGCCTCATTTCTGGAGGGGCGGCTTAGCTCCTTTGACTCATCTTTCTGTTCTCCGTAACACCACACGCTCTGTGGTCATTGCAGAACAGGTGCTCAGAAAGTAGTGAATGAATGGATAAAACAATACATGACTGGGTGGGCGGGTGGATGTATATGGGTGGATGAATGAGTGCCTCTTGGCTAAGCCAGTGTATAGCTAGTTTGACAATGTCTGTTAACAAAGTAAAGACGAAATAGGAGTGAGAGGGAGCTAACAGCTCTTTGAGTATGTGCTAGAGTTTATTCCAGTCCTCACACATCTAGTTAAAAGCATGACAAAGTGAGTGTTAATAAAGCAAGAGAAGGATGAAGCTCTGGAATGGAGCCCTTCCATGGGCACCTAGTCACCAGTGTGACTCTGATGGCCAGAGTCTTGTCTTGGAGAAGACTTGGCCCTAGAATTCCAAAAAGACTTGAGAACTGTGGCAAATGCTAGTCTATCCCCACAGTGAACCTGACACAGTACTACGGAGACACTACGAAACATGCCGATGCTGAAGACACGGTCACTGTCACCTCCACGACTCTGGACAAGTTTTTAACCTCTCCGAGCCTCGGTTTTCCTCATCTGTAAAATAGGTCTACCTTATAGGATTGTTGTGGGGATGAAACAAAATAATCCTTGTAAAGTGCTTATCAAAGTACCCGGCATGAGCATTCAAAAAATGATAGCTATTATTATTGTTGTAGAAATTAGCAGTCATTCTAGTTAGCGAGAAAACGTGTCAGGCAACATAATCAAGGACTAAGTTATATGATTCTCTCTTTTTTTTTTTTTTTCTTTTTTTGCAGTACGCGGGCCTCTCACTGTTGTGGCCTCTCCCGTTGCGGAGCACAGGCTCCGGACGCGCAGGCTCAGCGGCCATGGCTCACGGGCCCAGCCGCTCTGCGGCATGTGGGATCTTCCCAGACCGGGGCACGAACCCGCGTCCCCTGCATCGGCAGGCAGACTCTCAACCACCGCGCCACCAGGGAAGCCCCTGATTCTCTTTTTAAGTCCCACTGGAATTCAGAGAAGAGTTTGTCAATGCGGACTAGAATGATAGGGGAGGCCTCCAAGAGGAGGAGGGTTTAGCATGGCCCTTAAAGGATGGGTGGGATCTGGGAGATGAGAATAGTGCAAGAGCATGCGCAAAAGCAGGGAAGTGGGAGTGCAGGCTGCTGGTGCAGCAAGTAGGTGGTGGAGACACAGCAGAAAAACGGCCTGATACAAAGTAACAGGTGATAAAATTGGGAGCACCAATGACCTCAAGTCTTTCATGACCTTCTGTGGTAGAGTGGCTACAGAAAGCCATCTAAGTTTATCAGTCCTCAGGGAGATAGAAATAATAAACACTCTACATAAAATCTATGTTTTAAACACTTCACATGTTGTAACTTACCTAATAATCAGAGTCAACCCTATGACACAGATACTATTACCACCTTCCATTTTATGGATGAGAACGTGAGGCACCAAGAGGGTAACTTGCCCAGGGTCACACAGCTTCTGAGTAGCAGAGTCTCCTCTCCCCAGGCATTCCAGTCCAGAGTCCATGCTCTTAACCACTACATTATTGCTGCCTCTTCCCTGTACCTTCTGTAGTCATCAGCTCTCTTCACTCTGTGGCTTACTGCCAGCAGTTGGAAGACAGTTCCACTGCCACCATCACGTCAGAAACTCAGCCAGGCGTTCATTGAATGGTTATTTTTATTTATTTATATAAATTTATTTATTTTATTTATTTATTTTTGGCTGCGTTAGGTCTTCATGGCTGCACATGGGCTTTCTCTAGTTGTAGCGAGCGGGGGCTACTCGTCGTTGCGGTGCGCGGGCTTCTCATTGCTGTGGCTTCTCTTCTTGTGGAGCACGGCCTCTAGGTGCGCAGGCTCAGTAGTTGTGGCGCACGGGCTTAGTTGCTCTGTGGCATGTGGGATCTTCCCGGACCAGGGCTCAAACCCGTGTCCCCCGCGTTGGCAGATGGATTCTTAACCACTGCGCCACCAGGGAAGTCCCACTGAATGGTTATTATGTGTCTGGTCCAGGGGTGTGTGGGGAGGATTGGGAGGGTTGCTAGGGGAGTTACTGAGGAAGGAGACCAGGGCTGTGGCCCCAGGGAACTCCTACTCTACTGCTGCAGACAGGACTCAACTTCTTAGGAACCAAGAGAGGGCAGTGCCAGCCTGGAGGCCTTCCTCCTGAACTATGGGGCCCTGACTTGCAGCAAAGTAGCACTTCAGAGGGCAGCCTCAGCTCAAGGATTCCGAGATGGTGGGGAGCTGGGACGTGGCCTTGGCCCCAAAGGTGTTTTACCAGATGCCTGCAAGTGGGATTGCCTGCTGTACAGGGACAGGCACATGGGGATGTGGCTCCCTCCAGCCGTCCCCTCCCTTCTCCACTGGGAGAGCGGAAGCCCCCAGCCAATGACCTGAGCGCTTCCCACCAAATCGCCTTCGCTTTGTCCTCCCCTCCCCCTATTGCCGTCTCATAGTATTACTAAGTTCGCTCTGTGTTCAACCTTTTTGGGCTTTGAGAGAGGGGTGGCACCGTGGACATAGACTGAGGGGAAAGAGGTCAAGGGCACCAACACAGCGCCAGGGAAAGGCCACGGCAGAGGCCAAGGCGAGTGAGGACCTGGGCCTGAAACTGACCCGCAGCCCCGGCAGGGCAGGTGTGAGGAAGCAGGGATGTGTAGGCTGCCCCGGGAACGGCTGACTCCTGCCGTCATTTCCTTTCCAGCCAGAGAACAATGGCTCAAAAACTAGTGCAGCCCGTCCACCTTCCCGTCTCGCCGCGGGCCACATGCGATCTCCGGTCCCCGCGGCTGAGCGAACGGAAAGCCGGAGACCCGCTCCCCGGAGACACGCGGGGCCAGAGGCGGCTGTCCTCGTCCCCGCCCTCTGAGATCGCGGGGCTCGACAGCCCCGGCTGGCACGTTCTCCCTCCCCTTCCAGGCCCTGCACTCGGCCAGCAGCCTGGAGAGTCACCGAGGGATGAGGACGCCACAGCCCGGGGGAGCACCCTTTCTGCTCTCGCGGCCCCGAGCGCGCAGCGCCCAGGAGCCGGATAGAGCCTGACGCCCTGTCGTCTCCCCTCGCGCACAGGGCTCTGCGAGTGATCCAGCCGGCCAGCTCCCTGCTGCATGGAACGGCTGCAGAAGGTGCGCGGGGCCACACCCACGCCGGGGCAGTGGGGGGCCGGGGGCACGCGGTGGGGGCCAGGCTCCCCGCGGAGGGTCAGGTCGGGAGTCGAGGATGCCACCTGGTGGTTGCCCGCGGCGCCGCACCCCGGGGCCCCAGAGGCCTAGAGAAGCCCTCCCCTGCCCCAGCCCCCTCCCTCCGGCCCGGCCCTGGCACCCACACACATTCCCACCCGCCCGCCTTCTCGCTCTCCCCAGCAACCACTTACCTCCCCTGGGAGCGTCAGCTCCTCCCGAGGCTCCAGTGTTCCGGGCTCTCCCTCCAGCATCGTGGTGAGTACCTCTTGGCCACCAGCACCCTCAGGCTGGGAGGAGGGAGGGGCGGGGCGCACGCTGGCTGCCGGGCAGCTTCACTCAAACGATGATGGTCCTGCCAGGGCTGGCAGGCAGAGAGAACCCCAGATCCAGAGAAGGTTCTGCACACCCCCTCCTGCTGGTCTGGTACTGTCTCGTTGTACCCAAAGGGCTAGGTGAAGGACTGTCATTGTTTTAAGGTGACACTCTACACCCTTAAAATGACAATAATAGAAATATTAACTTACAGGAGCTGACATCTAAAATGGCCGCCCATCATCTTCCTAATAAATTGGAGGTCTGGCTTGTAGGGCCAGTATTCTAGGGGAGGCTTTTGACACCTCTGTTCCATGTGTACCATTTCCCTTCAGGCCAAGATGGACAATCAAGTGATGGGCTACAAGGACTTGGCTGCCATCCCCAAGGACAAGGCCATCCTGGACATCGAGAGGCCTGACCTCATGATCTATGAGCCCCACTTTACCTATTCTCTGCTGGAACACGTGGAGCTGCCCAGAAGCCGGGAGGTAAAGGGTGGGAGGTTCCTCTTGGACAGGACTTGGGGGAAGGGCTCCCCCAGCCACACTGGGTGGGAGGCAGAATCCCTCTCATGCTTTCTTTCCTGGAGGCCAGACTCCAAAACAAGAAGGGGACCTGTGCACAGGAATCACCAGTCAGTTGGTGAACTGGGTATTTGTGCAGAGCAGGCAGAGATGGGCTGGCGGCTGGAGGCTAGCTCCAGGTGGAGAGCAGGGGAGGCCATGTTTGAAAGGCAGCAGCACAGAGTGGGGTCATGTAGGAATGGGGTGGGACTGGGCAGAAAGTGAGCAAATTTGTGGAAAGCGCTCAGGAACACTGAGCTCGGAGGCTGGAAGTCCTAGCTGAGTGTGACCTGTGTGACGGTGTGGTCTCAGTTTCCCTTCTTATAAAATAGAGGTGATACCTTTACCAGTCCACCTCAACAGGTAGTCAAATGCACGAGATAACGCAGGACAGGTACTTTGTACACTGTGTTGGAGAAAGGGGCAGTGTCATGGCTGAGCAGAGAGACGGGACCAGGCTGTGGGGAGACTTAAATGCCTGACAAGGGGCCCGGACTCCAACCTGGATGCTGTGGGTCTTGTCCCTTCCCCCTGTTGCTCATTGGCTCTGAGGTCAGAGCCATAGCCCCTCCAGCTGGCCCTCAGAGCGCGTGCACACTGCTCCAAGATCCTCGGCTTCTGCTTCTTCGTGGGTCCTAGGGGAAGACTTAGGACCCTTTCTAGGGAGAGAGAGGACGGAGGGCCAGCCCTGGGAGCTGGCAAGGACTAAGAGAGAAGAGGTGGCCCAGAAATTGGCTGGGCGATTGCAGAGTTGAGTGTGTGGGGGGGTGAAGTGACCCACCTGGGGTCCTAGGGACAAGGGTTTAATCCCACCCTTGTGGCTCTGACCAGCCTCCTCTCCATTCACAGCGCTCGCTGTCACCCAAATCCACATCCCCCCCACCATCCCCAGAGGTGAGTCTGCCCCGCACCTGACACTTGCCGAGCCCTGCTCTGACCGGGCTCAACCCCCTTCCCCACACACGTCCAGACTGGGCTTGGCAGAGCCTAGGGGGTGATGGAATCAGTGGACCTTGTCCTGTCACTGGCCAGCTCTGGGTCCATCTACGTCTGACCCAGGATCTCTTTTAATCCTTTCTCCTGGGTCAGGCAGCATCATCAACAGGTTGAGTGCTTGGATAGCCTTCCTCTGCCCTGGGGTTGGGGGCGTGCGTGCTAGGGTGGGAGGATGGAGATGGTGAAGGGGGTGGGGTGGGGGACCTGGGAGCTGCAGTGAATCATACTTCTGCTCTGCAGGTGTGGGCGGAGAGCCGGTCCCCTGGAACCCTCTCTCAGGCTTCAGCCCCAAGAACCACTGGCACGCCCCGGACCAGCCTGCCCCATTTCCACCATCCTGGTAGGTTTTAGTGTCAGCATGGCTGCATCCTTGCCCTAGGACCTCTTTTTTTTCCTTCAGGAGCCCAAGCCCCTTACTCTCAGTCCTCCACTCTCTGGAGTATATGCACACCACAGAACTGGCCAGACCCCGGGATGCCGGACCCCAGGCAGAGCTCCCAGAGATGGTGGGCCCTGCTGCATCCTCCCTCCCACCCAAACAGAGAAGTGCAAAAATCCCAACCCCTGAGGGGTAATTTCAGGATCTCCGGTTCTGTCTTGGCTCTGGGAGGAGCCCCTGAGTTTCCTGCCTTCTCCCAATCCATGTCTCCATTCCCACCTCTGACCCAGCCTCCCCGCCATCCTCATAGCCTCCTTCTCATCCATTCTTGCTCCCTCTCCACAGAGACCACCCGCCCAGATTCCAACATCTACAAGAAGCCACCCATCTACAAGCAGAGAGGTCAGGGTTCCCCTGACCGACCAGAGCCCCCTTTTCGCCACGTGCCGGGAGGCTGTCCTGAGGGTGGGGGGCTGATGGGAAAACAGATGTTCCTAACGGCATGTAAACCGCCCTGTGCTCTTCCTTGTGCGTTGCTTTTACACCCAGGAGCTCACAGGTGTGAAGAGGCAGAGAGGAGGGAGTGGGGGGCTAAGGTGGGAGGTGGCCTCCGGGGGGGCGGGTGTGCCCGGGCTGACCTTGACCTCCCCCCGCAGAGTCCACAGGAGGCAGCCCTCAGAGCAAGCACCTCATTGAAGACCTCATCATCGAGTCGTCCAAGTTCCCTGCAGCGCAGCCTCCCGACCCCAACCAGCCAGCCAAGATCGAAACAGACTACTGGCCGTGCCCCCCGTCGCTGGCTGTTGTGGGTAGGCGAGAGAGGCCCTGCTGAAGGCCCAGGAACCACCCCCCCCACCTGCATGAACCCTCCAGGATCCTGCTTCCCCCGTCCCCTGCAACCCCATCACTCTTGGCATAAGCGGCCCTGCTTGTTAGTCATTTACCCGCTTTCCGTTCATTTCTTTGGCGGCTCAACAGACATTTGTCGAATTTCTGCTGTGTCCCAGGCTCTGTGATGGGAGCTCTGGAAAGAGAAAGAGGAATGAGACAAGGTCTTGGCCCTCAATCGCTTTCGGTCGTGTGAGCATGTGTTGCCCACCCGGCTTCACCGCAAGGCTAGAAAACGTTGCTTTTATTTTATAATAATAATTTGCGGTGTTCCCTTCAAGGTGCAGCCCCGGGACACGCACAAAGCAGCCCCTGACAGACGCTCGTTGAGCGTGCGGTTGATTGACTGATGTGCCCGCTTTTGTCCGTATTTCGCAGAGACAGAGTGGAGGAAGCGGAAGGCGTCGAGGAGGGGGGCAGAGGAGGAGGAGGACGACGACGACGATGACTCCGGGGAGGAGATGAAGGCTCTCAGGGAGCGTCAGAGAGAGGAACTCAGTAAGGTAGCGTCTCGCTGCCCCACCCGCATCCCTGGGCCACCCTGGGGACAGAAGTTCCATTCTGATCTAAATGCGTACATGTCTGAAGAGAGTCCTGCTGAGAACATGTGAGGAATTCCCTTTCTTTGCCAGGATGTCAGGCTGCTGCTTTTGAAGGGACACTAGGATTGCATGTTGCTTTAGGGGGACACCACTTACTGTTAGGGCCAAAAGCACAGAAAAGGGTGGTCCCGCCAGTGCCAGGCTTCAGCAGGCGGAGTAGTTCATGGGACGAGGAGAAAGGAGGCTGCTGGCCTCCATGTGAGGAGAGTGGGTGTAGGGAGTCGCGGAAAGGCCACTGATGGCGGCATGGGCTTGTGCTCTGGGCTCTGTGACCTGGGATGCAGAAGCCCCTGGGGCAGAGTTACACTGAGCGGCTCTGACTCCTTGCTCTCGAGGGTGGCCAGGCCCAATGTGGCAGAGCTTCTGACCAGGACAGGCTCCATGGGCTCCAGGCACCACACAGCCCCTCAGGAACACTGTCCCCACCTCTGCCTGGGGTGGACCCAACTCTGAACCTTTTGGAGATGAGAAACAGGTATCGATGCCTTGGATCCATCTTCCTTTCTCCTTGCCAGGTTACTTCTAACTTGGGAAAGATGATCTTGAAGGAAGAGATGGAAAAGTCATTGCCTATCCGACGGAAAACCCGCTCTCTGCCTGACCGGACACCCTTCCATACCTGTGAGTGTCACCAAGAGGGCTCAGAGTCACCTGGCCAGACCCTGAGGCCAGAATCAAATAGTCTGCTGAGTTTGTCTGTCACACGCCCAGCGCTGTGCTACTGTGGGTATAAGAGACAGAGAAGTTTCGGTTGCTGGCTCAAGGCTCTGGCGCTCTCCCTAGGGCAAGAGTACCAGTCATGGAACGAGATGAGATGACAAAGGATGGCATCAGCTAAAGCAGAATTAGCACATTTTGTTTAATTCAACAAACATTTATTGGGTGTCTACCATGTTCTTGGCCCTGAGGATATAAAGAGTAAAACACTATAGTGCTGCCTTCCAGTAGCTTTCGGTCACGGGGAAAGTGACGTGGAAACTGGGGTGTCAGTGCAGCATAGCAGGTGAGAGGTACACTTCAAGTGCTTCGAGAGGACGCTGATAGGGCCTGGGTCCCAGAGTTGGAGTCTTGAAGGACAAGACAAAGTGAGTGGGGGAGAAGGGCAGCACAGACCCCAGGGACAGTGTGGGAGCAAAGGCCAGGAGCAGCAAACATCCGGCCAGCAGAGAGGACCTCCAGGAGCCTGGAATTACAGCGCACAGAGCGTGCTCTGCGGTGGCTGGGGCTTTGGTGCCATGCTGCACATCACCGAGGCTAACCTGGGCTTCCTTCGAGCATGATGGCTGGAGAGGAGGGGGGCAGATCTGAGAAGCCCAAACTGGGAGCTACAAGGCCTCTAAGAGCCTGGCCTCGGAAGCCACAGGGCATCCTTCTACTGCCTTCTGACGGTCAGAGCAGCTCCCAGGCCGCCCAGACACAAGGGAGAGGAAAGAGATTCTGCTT